GATTGTCATTTTCACAATATTAATTCTGCCAATCCATGAGCAAGGGAGGTCCTTCAATCTTCTGATGTCTTCCTAGATTTCTTTCTTTAAAGATTTAAAATTTTCATTGTAGAGGGCTTTAATGTCTTTGGTCAGGTTTATTCCAAGATATTTTATATTTTTTTTGCAGCTATTGTGAAAGGGAGTATTTCCAATATATAGAAAGGCTACTTTTTTTTTAGATTAATTTTATAACCTGCCACTTTACTGAAAGTGTTAATCATTTCTAGGAGTTTTCTGGTGGAATTTATGATGTCTCTTAGATATAATATATTATCTGCAAAAAGGGATAATTTAATCTCTTCTTTTCCAGTTATTACTCCTTTAATTTCCTTCTTTTGTCTTATTGCTCTTGTAAGAGTTTCAAGCACGAAAGAGTTTCAAGCACCATGTTTAAGAGAAGTGGAGATAGTGGACAGCCCTGTCTGGTTCTTGATTTCACTGGGAATGTTTCCAGTTTGTCTCCTTGTAGAATGATGTTGGCTGTGGGCTTGTTATACATGGTTCTAATTATGTTGTGGTATGTTCCCTCCAGTCCAATTCTCTCTAGGACGTTGAACATAAATGCATGTTGAATTTTGTCAAATGCCTTCTCTGCATCTATTGAGATGACCACGTGGCTCTTGTCTTTGAGACCAACTATATGATTTATGATGTTTATTGACTTACATTTATTGAACCATCACTGCATCTCTTGAATAAAGCTGACTTGATCATGGTAAATGATCTTTTAGATGTGTGTCTGTTTGTGGTCTGCAAGTATTTTCTTGAGAATTTTAGCATCTATGTTCATTAAGGATATGGGTGTATTGTTTTCTTTTCTGTTTGTATTTTTACCTGGCTTTGGTATTAGAGTGATGCTGGCATCATAGAAGGAATTTGGAAGTTCTCCCTCCATTTTTAATTTTTTGAATAACTTAAGTAGTATTGGATGTAGATCCTCTTTAAATATATGCTAGAATTCTGCTGTAAATCCATCTGGTCCTAGGCTTTTTTTAGTCGGGAGGTTTTGTATTACTGTTTCAATTCCCTTATGTGTTCAGGGTTTTTTTACACTGTTGATCTCTTCTTGGTTTAGTTTTGGTGGCTCCCATGCTTTTACATACCCCTCCATTTCTTTTAGGCTTTCAAATTTAACAGCGTATAAGTTTGAAAAGTATTCCCTCATAATGTTCTGAATCTTTTTGGTGTCTGTTGTGATGTTTCCCCTTTCATCTCTGATTTTGTTGATTTGGAGGTATTCTTTCTTTCTTTTTGTTAACTGGGCTAGCAGTCTCTCAATCTTGTTTATCTTTTCAAAAACCAACTCTTGGATTCATTGATTCACTGTATTGTTTTCTATTTTTCTATTTCATTAATTTCTGCTCTGATTTTTGTTATTTCTTTTTGTCTGCTGAGTTTCGGTATCATTTTTTGTTGCTTTTCAAGTGTCTTGAGTTGCAATGTTAAGGTATTTTTTTGTGTGTTCTTTCTGATTTTTTTAATGAAGGTCCTTAGAGCTATTAACTTCCCTCTAAGGATTACTTTCAATGTGTCCCAGAGGTTATCATGTGTTGTATTGTCCTTTTCATTTAGTTCCAATAATCATTTTATTTCTTTCTTAATTTCTCCTTTGACCCAATCATCATTCAGGAGTGTGTTGTTTAATCTCCATGTGTTCATGTAGTTCCTAGGGTTTTCTGGTGTTGATTTTAAGCTTTATTGAATTTTGGTCTGATAGAATGCTTAGAATTATTTCAATCTTTTTGTATTTGTTGAGGCTTGTTTTGTGCCCCAGTATATGGTCGATTTTGGAGAAACTTCCATGGGGCCCTGAATAGAAAGTATATTCTTTGGTGCTTGGGTGGAATAGTCTGTAGATGTCTGTTAGGCCTATTTGATGTATGGTATTGTTTAATTCAGATGTCTCTCTGTTAATTCCCTGTCCTGCTAACCTATTTGATGGAGACAATGGGGTATTGAAGTCCTCTATTATTAATGAGTTGGGATTAATCTGGGTCTTAAAGTCCTGTGGTGCTGTTTTTTAT